CAGTTTGATTCTGTAGAAAGTTCTTACTGTATAAACTTTATAAACAAAGAGAGGAAAACATCTCAAACAAAATGATACAAAACTAAAACAAAAGGAGCAGGAGGCTTATCCAGATAAGCTTGTCGACAATTTCTTAATTAAAATGGTTACTATATACAAATATACATATACAAATGCATAGATGTGCATGCATGTGTACAGATACATCTTTGAACCTACAGACAAATACTTTTTCATATCACCAATATAATGATATTCTCATTCTATACAATAGCACAGCTCATAATGTGAATATCTAATCTCTTTCATTTTTATACACATAAAATATGTATTGCTTATATTTATCTTAAATTGTGCAATATTTTTACTTTCTTTAATTTCTTTGTCTGGGCTGTTCGACAAAGTCACTCCACAAACTGATATGCACATCTTTTTAAGAGCGTTGGCTGCTTTAAATTGCATTTTCTGCTCACGCCGTACCTTCCCTCTCTATTCTTAAATAAATTCTGAATATTACTTGGAAACATAGTATTTCTTGTTTTGAACAGCACCTGTGTGGTTTTAAATTGTACTAAATTCATGAATTTCATAACTTGTGGTTTCAAAAAAGGTTTATTTGTGTGCTCACAATCCCAAACATTGTGTCCTTATTGCTCTTTTTTGCATTGTGCATATTTTTTGTAACGAAGTTGTTCTGTGTTGAGTAACAGCTAAAACAGATAACAGGAAGGCTATAACTGCAAGAATATGTACTGATGATGCTTTCCTGGAGTCAATCTAAGAATCACTCAATGAGGTCATAGTCCTTAAAGCTGGACTTTATCTCATGCGGGTCACTGTGGAGCGTTATTGAAATGGCTTTTACGTAAAGACAGAAAGGCTCTATGACGCAGCTAGCATGAAGTGCTCACAGAGCTATTTACAAACAAAAATGTCCAACAAAATGGACCATACCACTATTAAGCAGCCAGTTTAACAGTGGCGTGGTCCATGTGGTTTCCTTTCCCGTGTTGATGGTCTTGGAGACAGTGAGAATAAAGACCACGATTAAATGAGTTATCAGCAGCTTCTTTAGCAATCATTAAACCAGCATAGAGACTCTAATCTAAAACTGTGTCTGAAGCAAGGGATGTGGCTTTTTTTCTTCTTCTTCCTTCATTAACAGACTTGCCTTTGAGGTGGGCCTGCAGGATAGTGTGCCTTTTCCATCTTCATAGAAATAAACAGCCGTGCAAATTTGATTGATTGATTGGTTGATTGGTAATTTATTTCAACATGTGAACAATATACAAGTACATTTAGAAAAGAAAATAAGAAAGAAAAAAAAATACTGTACAAATTACATACAAAAAAATTATTAATTTACATGTTGAAAGGGAAGAAGTAAACACTTATTTAATCCCACCCCTTTGCCATAAATTATCAGTTAATATTTAGTCAGCTTCCTTACTGATATAATTTGTAATAAAAACAGTGAACAGATTTCTGATATATTATATACTATAATATCACATCATGAGTTGTTTTGGGTTTTTTTTGTTTTTTTTTAAATAGAGACATTCACTTAATTTCAATATTTTCCTTTTCTTTATAGTTCGAGAAGATCATATTTTTATAACTCTTTTTGAACAGTTTTATGTTTGGACGTTGCTTTAATTCCATATTCAGACTGTTTCATAGTTTCACTCCATGAACAGAAACACAAAAGCCTTTTCTTGTAGTACGTACCTTCATTGTTTTGAAGTTACAAAAACCCCTTAAATTATAACTTCCTCCTTTCAAAAAAAACATACTCTGAATATTACCTGGCAGTTCTTAATTTTTTGCTTTGAATAGAATTTGTGCTGTTTGGAATTTGCATGAGACTGTCACCAAAATGCAGCAGCCAACTGAATGAATCGAGAGCAGAAAGTTACTGATGCACTCCATTTACACAAGGAGCAGCACCAATAGTACCCCTGCTTTCTGAGATCTCAGTCTGACAACAGCATCGACAGAACTGATGGATATTAGTGGTGTAGTGACACATTCAGGCCTTTTACAACAGCTCACCCAGGGGACGAAACAAAAATACAATAACTCTTGTTAAACAT